GGGGGGGATTTTATACTCCAGGAAAACGACCCCTGAGATATTCGTGAACTCTCCACTCCACGCAAGAACGGAACTACAGTCAGCACTTCACCGCGGGCAGCTGGTCAGTCTACCACACACAAGACAAGCTCGACTTTCTCCACGGTCACAACTTTTTACTTTTAAATGCAGGTGTTTTTAGACGTCCCCATGAGCGGGATTTCGATCACTGTCAGGGTCAACCCGGGCTGAGGAGGACACAACATCCCAGCAGATAGACCCGAGATCGTGGGTGGTTGGCGGCTGCTCTGGTGTGATTTGCTTCTTCTTTCCTATCAAACCTCTATCGTCCTTATCTCCCCTTCTTCTTTTTTATGTTTGTTACTCTCTTGTAACACCTCTAATCTTCTGGCGTTCATAAGACCTGATGCAGTTGCGAGCGCCGTAAAACCTCTACTAAAACCAAGACTCGAGATCATCATAATCCAGTGCCAGATCTGCGACAGACATCGGCGATCATGGTTCTCCATTCATTACTTTGCTCGGATGCTTCTAAAAAAGCTAAATTTCCCAGATCTTTCCTGGTTACCCATTTGTTTAGGTTCCCTAGGGAGGTTGCTCTGGGCCTACCCTTGCCTCGTTTGCCTTCAATTTTGCCAGTGAGAGCTAAATGTTCAAAACCCTTATGTCTATTCAGGTGTCCCAAAAACTGCATTTGTTGTTTCCTGATTGTTTTTAACAGAGATCGTCCTACGCGGGCTTCATCAAACACTACCTTATTTAATTTCTCGAGGTACTCGATAACAATTCTCCTCAGTCAGGAATGGAACTCCGGGTCTCGTGTGTGCGATGGTGACAGAGAAACGCCTCACAGTTAGGATCACAGACGCCGATAAGAAAACCCCCCGGAGATATTCGATAAACTATCCTCCCTAAGCAGGTATCGAACTTACGTCTTTCCCTAGCGAAAATAACCTAGCCACTACACCAAAGCGGGTCGGGTCGGTCACCAGAAGCCCTCATGGCCAGCAGACGTGGTAATCTCGCCACACGACCTTTATACGGGGTGCCCACTTCGTATGTCGCCTCAAAAAACAAACGTGTTTGTTTTCAGTTTCAGGTGATCGAGTCGTTCGATAGGCCGATCCCATCCGTAGTGGGCACCCCGTATTAGACAATCACTATCTTCATCGACACTGAGTGGTCGTTCTGGACAATGTCTACCGTCTTCTCATCGTTTAGAGGAAAAGGACACATGATCGGTAACGCTACGAGTGGTCGTTCTGGACAATGTCTACCGTCTTCTCATCGTTTAGAGGAAAAGGACACATGATCGGTAACGCTACGAGTGGTCGTTCTGGACAATGTCTACCGTCTTCTCATCGTTTAGAGG